CTCCCCAGAGAGGCTGAATCTGGATTTAACATTGTGCTCAGAAATATTCAGGATAGATTCAAGCCCAGCCTCATTGTTGCCTCAGGACACAGGACGTCATGATCCCCCCATGGCTTTCAGTTTTTAAAGCTCAAATTAACATTCCAGTACATAAATGCTTGAAATTGTGACCTAAACAGTTCTGAGCCTTTGGAAGCATCCTGCTTTTAATTAAGCACCCTGTCCCTGCTGCAGTCACAGGCTGGGCTGTTAATGATGTTGTGTGAGGACCACGGGGCTGTTCCCCCAGTGAATGATTTATTAACTCCAGCAACACCAAATCTGCTCCACAGCACTGGCACACCAAGACAAAGGAGGTGATTACTGTGCCCACAGCACTTTAACTTCCTTTCTACTCTGGATACCCTGAGCCCCATCACAGGGCCCTAAATCACAGTGTTGTTATTTAGTCCTCAGCAACCTTTGCAGGGTGAGATTCCAGCATCATCCTCTGCCTGCAGCTCCTTTGGGGCAAAATGCAACGGAACAGATTATTTCTGCAAAGCAGATATTCTGTACATTAACAGACTTGCTGTTACAGAAGCATCCATTGCTGTTTCAGGCTCAAGCAGCAGTTCTCAGGATTCTTCCTGTGCTTGTAGAACATGAATTACAGTATAAAATCTGCTTAAGAACTTGGTTCAGCTCTGTGTACAATTAATTTATCAATGCTCCTGACATCCACATCGTTCCTTTTACTCTTTTCAGCTCAGGAACATCTTGACATGCCTGAAGTGAATATGAAATAATATCTTTTAGATAACCTGCATTTATTAAAACTTCTGTGTCTCCATTTCCTGAGGAGTTTCTTTGTGCTGCCTGGCACCTCTGCCAAGCGAGCAGATAAAACATGAAGATGCTGGGGAACGAAAGCTCCACTAGCAGGACCTGCTGAGGGCAATACCTGAGGTGTGAGTGCCCATCAGAGTAACTCCCTCCTGCCAGGGGTGTGCACATCACTCCTGAACTGATGGGAACAGAGGCCTAAAAGGAGGAGGAAAGCTGCAGTTTGGAGGTGAAGCACAAACCCTGCCCAGGTTGGGGCTGCACTTTGGTGCCTGTTTGCAGGGCTGGGGCTGCAGCAGAGGGGACTCAGAGCAGTCACAGCAGGAGAGGCTCTGCACAACAAGGGCATCCTTTCCCTGCTCCAGGAGCTGAACACTGAGCCGAAAAGCCTCGCCTGAACGAGCACCAGAGTCGGCACAGCAGCTTCCCTGCTCTGCATTATTGATGTTACCTTGCCAGGTGAACCCCCCCGTGCTGGGCAGAGGAAGGAGGAGCTGGCAGAGCAGCCCCTGTGCTTCCAGTTCCCTCACGTAGGACAGCGGGAAATGATTGAGAGCAAACAGCATCACAGCTGACAAGGCTGAGCTCACCTCAAACAGCCCCCTGACTTCTTCCTCCAGGAGACAGAGAGCGCCTCACACACCATTTCTCAGTGTCTGGAGGCTGTCCCCTAAAATTAAATATTGATTCAATACGATCTGGCTTTCCCAGGGGGAAAAAAATGAATATGCATCTCCCTCAGCGTGTGTAGTTTTAAATACCAGGGTAATTGTAACGGTCTCAGCTAAGCTGGATGAACACTCAGCAGCTAATCCCTTGTTTGCCCAAGCAAAGCAGGCACTAAGATTTACTGTTTACCATCACCTCTGCCGACCCTCTTTGTTTGCTCATCAATAGCAGCCGTTTGGGAGAGGCTCAGCCTGGCGAGTCCTGCCCTGGACACAGCAGGTTCCTTCCCACAGTGTCAGACAGGATCTGCTCAAGTTAATGAGACATAAGGAGCTGCTTTTTCTTTTTCCTAGAGAACATAACGTGTTCCTTGGCGAGCTGTGGATCATTTCAGAGACCACAAACGTGTTGTAATCTGAAAGAATGAAGGAAATAGGTGTAAACCAGAGGGGAAATGAGAGCAACCTTCATGAGATTAAAAGATAGGTGGGGTCTATGACAGAGAGTGCCTTTTTTTGCCAAAGCAGGCTGTGTTAATAACTAAAGCCTGAGAGCATAATAAGGTGTGCATTTTGTTCAGATTAACCAGAATAAAAATCTGTCCTGTTATATTCATCCATCAGATGCTGGAAATACATCACAGCACACCATTACCTCCCATTTTGTCTTTCTTATCATAGAATAGAATCCTAGAATGGTTTGGGTTGGAAGGGATCCTTTAAACCCATCCAGTGCCACCCCCTGCCATGGGCAGGGACACCTTCCACCAGCCCAGGGTGCTCTGACCTGGCCTTGGACACTTCCAGGGCTGGAGCAGCCACAGCTTCTCTGGGCAAACTAATATTCCACTGCACATCCTTGGAGGAAGGAAAGACCATATTAGAGAGGAGGGGTAGGAGTCTCCTGTCTGTGCTCCTACTGTGTTTTACTGACCAGTAATTTACTCTCCAATGTGAACCCAGTGGTATGAACAATCACAGCGTTACTGGGGAGGAGCAAGTGGGTTCCTATTAACCTTATTTACTACAGTTATTTTGAATTTGAGATCCTAAGAAGTGTATTGTTAGAATAGGTCACCTGGACCTAATCAATACTAATCAGCTGCTGGGCTTTTTGAGGGCACAACAGCTTGACTCTGATTAGAGTCTTGCTCCTTTTGCTTACATCGCTGTCTACTCTCTTGTTTTTCAATAGGACAACAGTCCCTAAACAAAACAAACAAACAAACAAACAAAAACCCATTAACCAAAACCAGGTACTCTGTAACTATATTTTTATGTTAAATACGAACACAACAGTGCAAAACACCAACAAACAAAGGGCTGCCTTGGCAAAGGCAGCTCAGTGATCAGTTTGTAGGTGATAGATGATACTAAACCCTGTATTGATGAGAAGCAGAGCTTCTGTTACCTCGATGTTGCCTTTATCAATTAAAGCTTTTCCTGTAATTACGTTTTTTCCTCCTCATTAAGCTCCAACCTATTTGTTTCCTCTTTTATTATTTTTTAGTTGGCATTAAGTTGGGACTGGATGCAACGCTGAGGTGATGGGTTACCAATACTGCTGGAGCAGAAGCACTCAAGGAGTACAGCACGTCCTGTCCTACAGCTCTTGTCACCAGTATTTACTGTTCAAGGCCTTTGTCCTCTCAGCCATGCAGAAAATAAAATTCCCCAGTGCCCTTCCAAAATTCCACTCTGTAGTTTGCTCTCATTTAAGCAGTTTTAATGCCTGTGCACCTCTGCAGATACTGCCCACTTCATTATGCTGCATTTGGAGCAGCAGCTCCCTGGCACACTGACAAGGGATTATTCCTAATGCTCTCCAGGAAAGCAGAACCAATGGAAAACAATTTATAAAAAAATATCAGGCAGAATTCTTTCTTCTCCTCCTCCCTTCTTTCCAGCAAGGGAATCAATAACCTTTTATTTGCAAAATATGGCTGTATAATGGAATCACAGACTGGTTTGGATTGGAAGGGACCTTAAAGCCCACCCAGTGCCACCCCCTGCCATGGGCAGGGACACCTTCCACCAGCCCAGGGTGCTCCAAGCCCCATCCAACATGGCCTGGGACACTCCCAGGGATCCAGGGGCAGCCACAGCTTCCCTGGGATCCTGTGCCAGGGCCTCCCCACCCTCCCAGTAAACAATAATAGTAATAATGATAATAATAATACCCAAACCAACAACAGGAACAACCATAACACCAACAATCATGACAATAATCAACGCACTTGCCAATTCAGACATTTGGAGCCCCTGCTGTACCCTCAGGCCCCACAGTCACTGCTGTGTCACGAGTATCGTGGCAGTCCATGCCCTGCAAATACCCAACACCAAACCAATGGTTCTCTGGCAGAGAACAGGATTCCTATCCCCAGTGCTGATGTAAAGGAGGATTTTGCTGCACCCTCCCAGCTAATCCAGTGTGGAGTGCAGCCAATGGAGCAGGAATAAGGCAGCACTTGCTCTCGCTTTTTATACTTATTTTTGTTCCTATCAGCAAGAATTATGTTTATTAATAGACCAAAATAAGGAACCAAGTGTTCCCAATATATTTAGGACAACCAGGAATATGGAGACAGCAGGACAACTGGTATCTCCAGCTGAGTCAGTCAGATTCTACTCAGGAGTGAGGTGCAAGTTCTGCAGCCTTTCATAGATCCATGGAACGTCCTGAGCTGGGAGGGACCCACAAGGATCATCGAGTCCAACCCCTGACCCTGCACAGACACCCCAACAATCCCACCCTGTCCTGAGGGTGTTCTCCAAGCACTCCTTGAGCTGTGGCAACCTTGGGGCCACGACCATGCTCCTCTACCGTCAATGGCAATGTATTACTGGAGTTCCCACTTCTAACTTTGGGTTTGGGGTTTGTCATCTCCCCCCAGCCCCAATCTCAGATCGTCACATAAGACAGAAACCATCCTTCCTTTCTGCTGCTGGCTGGCAGACGTGTCAGGAAGTGTTTTACTTGGAAGTGCTCAGAGAACATATTGGAAAACCAGAAACCATCAGGAAAAGCCTGCTCTTGCCAGCAGATTTTCCTTCTCCATCCCCCTGCAGAGCCACCCCCCCTGCCCTCAGCATCGCTGCCGTGGATGAACGAGGGACCTGTGGGGTTTGTGTGGTCCCAGTGCCAAAGCAGTTCTTTACTGTGACATTCATAAAGAGCCAGGTTCTCTGCTCTAAATCTTTAACACCCATATTAAATAATAAACAAATATTCATTTTTTATGGACTTCTTAAAAATAAAAAAAAAAAAAATGAAAGAAAATCTCTTTCAGCCGCGTAAAACCAAAACCAACTCCAGCCTTCAGCTCCTGCCCCCCTGGACTACAGTCATTTCACATAAATATTGTAAAAGAAGGGTTGTTATTACCTCCCATGGCTCAGCTCCTGCAGGTTTTGTTCCAAGTCACAACATAGACTGGAATGTGAGCTGTGTGCTCGGGGAGAGCGGCCGGGAGGTGGCAACTGTCCCCACCTGCAGGGACCAGGCTGAGGCCACATTCCTTCTGGCAGAGCCCCCCGGGGCTGGAGCAGGCTCTGGAATCACAGAATGTCACAGTGGTTTGGGTTGGAAGGGACCTTAAACCCATCTCCTTCCAACCCCCTTCCACTGGCCCAGGTGTGTCTCCCAGAGGGAGCTGGAATGGGAAAGTTGAAGTCCATTCTCAGGCAGTGATGCACCAGTTTTCAAGCTAGCCTTCAGCTAACGTTAGTGTTGTCACAGGAGAAACAATCTGAACTTTTCTGCCTTTTAAAAAGCGGAATAATCAGTCCCTTCAAACCTGCAAAGGGAACGGTGACACGGAGAGGAGGGAAGGGAGGGATGTGGGAGCTGGGAGAACAGGGAGACAGCATTAATTACACACAGCCTGACAGGGAGAGGAGAACATTCTACACTCTTCAAAAGGGAAAGAATTAAGAGATGATTGAGAGCAGGGAAAACTGGTAATTTCTTTGAGCTGTTTAAAGAGTTTACCAACCTCTTAATGGAGCTCCACATGCTAGAAGGAGATGGAAAACAGCCCAAGCAGCAGCCTGGGAATATAAAACATAACTTTTCTCTTTTTTTGTCAGAAAATAAGCATATTTCTGAGATTCAAAGGAAAATATCCACTCACCTATCAGGGAAAAGTTAAGTACAAAAAAACAGCTGCAACACTTTCAACCAAATATTGTCATTTAAAAACACAATATGCCCAAACTAATGTTGTTTGTGTGAAAAGGTTGATATAAAAAACATCCTGAGATGGTAGAAAGTGAAGCTGAAAAGCACATCTCATTCAGAAATATAAGGCAAAAAGTTAAATTTCAAACTTGATACAAATCAAAGCGCCTCGAAACGCCCAGAAGATGGAACATATTGCTTTCAGAAAAAATACAACAATAAAAAAGCAAAACCACTCACCTCAATTCAGGAATAGAAAGTTTCTGAAGTATTTTGCAGGACAGGAAAACAATTTCACTCAGAGGTTCCTGGGGGAAGCCAGAAGAAAACTGGATATTCAATTTACAAAAAGCGAGAACGGAACATATTGCAATGTTACCCTTGGTTATGAAAGATGGGAATGAAAATAAGGCCAGGTTCAGAGGAGCAGCACTCCAACCTGCTCCCACTCCTTATGAGGGACATGTAAAGTGCCTCATTAAGTCTCTCCTGCCATACCAAGCCTTTTGCTGCCAGGGGGTCAATAACAGCGAAATGTCAACGTGCCCAAGTGAAAGTGTGGGATGAGAAACAGGGAAAATTAAAACCTCCCAGGCTGCACAACTCACAGCAAGTGATCGTGGACTCATGGAATGGTTTGGGTTGTGACCTTAAAGCCCACCCAGTGCCACCCCTGCCATGGGCAGGGACACCTTCCACCAGCGCAGGGTGCTCCAGCCTGGCCTTGGACACTCCCAGGGCTGGGGCAGCCACAGCTTCTCTGGGCAGCCTTGTCTCCCCAGCACAGTTAATATTCTGTCCAAAAAAACACAGTTTAGGCTGTACTTGTACCAAAACAGTGAGACAGAAATGAAGGGCTTCATTTTGAAGAGTGAAGTGACATCACAGCAAATATCCACACGGGCAAAGACTGGAGAGGGAGTTACCGCTGGTATTTTGGGAAAGGGAACTGCTAAATGACTGAGGGTGGAGAAGGACTAGAAAAAGCAAAAAGAGAGATTGTGCAAGAAGCCCAGCAGCTTTTCCCTGGGGAGTTTAAAACAAATATTTTAATTCCACTCTATTTTGAAAGTCTCTTAAAATAACATGAGAGTGGATATTTTTATGGTGGAAGCGAGGGCTAATCCAAGCTATTTGTGTGCAGACAGAAAGCCAATCCTATGTAGTAGGAATCTGGTAAAATTCTTTTAGCTCTGGCTTATTTATCTTATTGTGCACTCCAGAAGTAAGGTCCAGGAGATGCTGTCCACTGTGGTTTGGTCCCAACATTATTCCTGCCATTCAGCCTGGTGGTTCAGTCCCAGTGGCACAAAGATCTACCATCTACCTCTCATGCAAGATTTTATTGCACCCCCATGACTTTCCCACCTATTTAAATTGCTGTTTCATATAAATTATCTTTTGGACTGCTTGGCTTTGTAGCTCCTTTCTCTTTGTCCTTGTTCTGTGGTATCTCAAATCAATATGCAAGTACAGACATACCCAAAGTTCATCTCCAAACAGATGAGAGACTGAAAAGTTCTTTGCAGCTGCACAGATTTATCATGTACAAGTAGCACATTTGGCATTACAAAAGAGATCATAGAGATGGTGAAAAATGGTAATGAAATACAGCTTGGAAATTTTATAAAGTAACCTTGTTTTACCAGGGGAAAATAGAGGCAAAAAAATTTAAATTTAAACAGAGGGAGGAAAAAAAAAAGGTGAACTGAATGACCATTGCAATTCCTGAAAAGTTATGTAGATAAAAGCAGGATGTGACTGGAACACATAATACATACCAGGAAAAGAACAGGAGGATTAAACTGTGTGCCTTCCCCAAAAGGTTGTCCAGCCCTGGACAGGGGTGGAGTCCCCATCCCTGGAGGGATTTCAAAGCCCTGTGGATGTGGCACTTGGGGACATGGGCGAGTGGTGGCCTGGGCAGTGCTGGGGAATGGTTGGACTTGATAGTCTCAGAGGGCTTTTCCAGCCCAATTGATTCTGTGGTTCTGTTGGCAGTATTTTCACTGAGGTGACTTCAGTAGCAGGCAGTGCTGATGAAGATCAAAGCAGAACCTGCTGAGTGACCTCCCCTGACCCGAGGGACACGAGGTCCCTGCTCTGTTTGTGAAGGCCCCAGCAGCTTCCCAGGGTAGAGACTGTCCCCCAGAGCCAACCCTCCCCTCCTGCAGCGAGGCCAGGTGGGTTTGTAACCTCCCTCTCTGACACCACCACCACCACGAGGTACCTTAAAATCCCGGCTGTTCCTGCTGCCAGGCTCCCTTTGGGCAGGCTCTCTGGGGCTCCTGGCGCTGGAAACGAGCTGGGATGGGGATCCCAAAGCAGCTGCTGGTCCTCTGCAGGGAGGGCAGTGTTGGCAGTGTTGACACCAGTGTGGGACCCACCTGGGGTGGGGAAGGGGCCGCCAGTCCCCCCCCCCGAGCCATGAGCGTTGGTGGCACCTCGGAGGATGCTCCGCTTTCCTCTCCGGTGGGAGCAGGAGGGGATGCCACAGGCAGGAATTATTCTGCTGCTGCTCTGGGAGCTGCTTCAGCACTTGCAGGAGAAGCACAGCAAAAGGCTCCCTTTGTGCAGGAGACCTTAACGTGGCGATATTTTGTTTGTGCTCTTTGATGTTCAGCTTTCAGTTGTTTTCTGGGGGGCCGTTTAAGCAACAAGCTCTTTAGATAATTTTATGATTTCTTTGTTTGTTTGCCAGAAGATCCATCCTGTGGCATAAAGGAAAAGCAATTCTATTTCTTATCTTTTTTCTCCTGGTTAATATGAAGAGATTACTACCATTTTACGGAAAAAAAAAAACCAACATCCAAGTCAGTTCATAAGGAGGATAATTCCATCAAGTGGAGTTGTTTTTTTATATGTGAATGAAGGTTCAGAGGGGCCCACACTTCAGGAATCTAACAAACTTCATGAGCACAACGTATTCAGCACTAGGTTTAGAATATTGAATAGAACATCCTTAAAAAGCCAAGCTTTGTGAAAACATTGAAGTTTGCACAGCTCTCAGGGAACTTTGGAGGCAAACACGGTGCTGTGTTTGTCTATTCCAGTCTTAACAATTGAAACAAAGAGCAATTTAAAAGAAATTTGGGGGAAAATGTCCAATTTGCCCACACATGACTTGAATTCCATGAATGAACGTGCCTCTTCCAGCATGCACAAAGCCTTACACAGCCTTACATAAATGCCCTACATCATCCAAGTAGTCACTTTCTGATCTTCAAAATCCAACAGAATTATTTATAGCTTTGCATGAAATATTCATGCAAAAGTGTCCATTCCCTGAAATTTCTGCTAAAGAGTAATTTAACTTGGTTTTTTGCATTCCTTACCATCATCATAATTTAGGTCAGGCAAGAACCAACAATATCATTTGCCCAAAAAACCCTTGTGATGAGTGTTACAAAGTCCTTAGATTTGTAGTAGGTATTGTAAAAAGCAGAGTGAACAAGGGGCCCAATCCAAGCCACTAAAGTCAATTTTTAGCCAAGTATTTCCCTTTATTTTAGCCTGGATGGAGCCCTAAAAGGTCTCTTTTTAACTGCAGCAGCCAGTTCACCCCATACCCAATGCCACTGCTGCATGACATCAGATCGTGCAGCAGCAAATACACATTTCCTGGGGCCAGGGATAAATCAAATCAGTGCTGCCACAGCCCCTCCCAGGGCCTGCAGCGCTCACACAAACGCCCTTTTGGTTTAAAACTGAAAATAATGAATCCAGATGCACAGGAGCAACATGGTTTGTGCTTTTGGGCTGAATGCAGCCAGTGCTGGGAGTGAAAATCAGTGGTGTAACCTCAAGGGTTGCTGAACATGGCCAAGCAACATCATCTTTATGCTGACATATTTCACACTTAAATTGATGCAATTTCCTGGATAAATAAATATTCCTTTTCCTACACCTTAAATATATATATAAAATAATTATATTATATAAATATTTATAAATATTTTTATATAATATAAATATATAAAAATATAATTATATATATAATGATATTGTATAAATCTATTATAATTTATAGATTTCTTAAAATAATATGATCATCTTTACCTCCACATAATAAATATGCAAAAGACCCAAAGCAACAGATGGTGGGGAACATAAAAGTCCAGTACAATAAATATATATATATGTGTGTATGTGTAAGCTGCATATACATATATATATATATATATATACATTCATGTATGTCTTACAAGGGATTATTTTCTCCACCAGGCTTTGAAGTGCCACTTTCACTTAGAGGAGTTGAGATTTTATGGCCACCAGATGTCATAAAAACATCTACATTCCCTCGAGCAGGAGCTGCCTCCGTTCAGGAGCTGCTTCCATCCCTCTCTTCACGCAAGCTCTGCTCCTCAGCTGCTTCCTTTGTGGACAAGGAAAACTCTGGAGTTAATGGAATGTCATTCAAGCTGGTGAGGTGTCTGGGAAAGAAACAAGTAGATGGAAATGTCTTAAAACCTCTGAAGTTTTCCACCACTCAGCCGTCCCCCAGAAAGCCCGGCTGAGCTGGGGGTGACAGCAGAAGCTGATCCCGCTCTGATGGGATTTTTCCTGGCAGAGCTCTGTGCCAGCTTTCCCCCAGTTGATGATGGCCCTGGAGATCAGATTGTGTGTCAGTCTGATCCCACCAAACCCTGGGCAGGTCCTCCCTGACACCCCCTCCTCGTCCTGCCCTGGACCACCCTCGGCTTGCCGGGAGGATCCTCCTCGCTCTGACACCATCGAGCTTCATCCCGAGCATTTCCACCCTCAGCCCACTCTGCCCACCCACCACTGGGGATTATTTTGGCAGAAACACTCTGGCATCCCCCAGCACAGCCACAGCAAAAAGCCTCGTAACCAGTTGCCTCTCCTCCCCTCAGATTAGATTTGTGCAACTAAAACAGTGGAGTGCAACTGTTTTTGTATTTCAGTTTACAGAGACCATAAGATTGTAAAAAAATCACCTGGAAAAAACCCAACCAAGCCTATAAATCAACAAATAATACTAAAACCTTCATGTAAGAATTTTAAGATGCTTTTCATGTGATAAATTTATGTATCTAAAGAACTTCTTTATCTAGAAAAACACATGACAAATATAAATATTATATAGCAACTATTTGGACACTCATACAGAAAAATTCCTTTTCTGAGTAGTATTGGCCATCAATCTAAAGTGCCAGATTTTTCAATCAAATTAAAACACACCTCTGAATATTATAATACTCATTAATTCTTCAAAATTACCACAGCACAGGGGGTTCCAGGGCGCATCCCTCCTGTTCCTGCTCTCCTTTTGCTCCTGTTGATTTTACCTTTTTGCATATTTTATATGTATTTATAATTAAAAAAGCAACCTTTGCTGCACACAGAA